TGAATTGCTCATGCAAACATGCTTATTAAAACATTTGTATGAACTGAGTTCGGGAATCGGTTTTATGTAAATGCTCCGAAACAGTGTTCCAACAGGTTTTTAAGCACAAGCTAACCAGTTGGAGCAGGATAACATCCCTAATCTTTGGCTTCACCTTTCGAATATAAATCCAAATTTCTTTTGGAAGTCTTCCTCTAGTTGAATTTTTTTCTTGAGAACAAGCAATATCCAACGAAGATTAAAAAATTTTAAAATAGATATTTTTGACTATTTTTAATTTAATTTAAAATTACTTATTTTTTTATAAATTTATTAAATTGATACGTATAACGAATGATACTTTTATAATGATGTAATTATAAATTTATTAAATTGATAATAACGAAATATACTTTTATAATGATGTAATTAATTTTGATGTAAATTTTAGACTTGCGGCATTAATTTTGGCTTGAGGCATTGCCTATTAGTTTTGATATAAATTTCGGTTTTAGGCTAGTTTAGGAATAAATTTTATATTTAGGCAAAAATGCCGCAAGCCAAAACCTAGGTAGAAACTATGCCGAAATAGTTTCTACGGCATGTATAATCGGAGGTTTTCTATATCTGCGAATTAAAAAACCAACAAGTTACTCTAAACAATCTGACCATGCCTCTGATCCATACGATTGGCACTATACATGAACTTTAAGCTAAATAACCATGCAAAATATATTAATGAAATGTTTATTTATTGTTATTATACGAATAAATTCATTATTACTTCTTTTAAAAAATCGAGTGAAATATTCAGAGTTCCTGTTAACCTTTTGAGTGCAACTTTAGTATATTTTTCTCGATCATTATTTCGTCATTTTCACCTATCAATATTCTGAATATACTGTGCAAAAAACCACCTTCTCCGATTTTTTTAAGATTTTTTAATCTGTCAAAAGGTATCTATTCAATTACCTTTCCATATTTTATTGCCTTTAATTGTTGTTTTCTAACTAGAGCTTGGATCCGTTATCCGTTTTCATATAAATTTAACGGATATCTGATAGATTTTACTATTTAATTCAGTATTCAACGGATAACGGACTCAAGCTCTAAATGATATTAATACTTGTCGATTAGCCACCCTCTACCTCAAGAAAAAATATTTAATAATACTGTCTTTTAAAATTTTCGATATTGAACCTTTGCTATTTCGAGGAGATGAAGAATTGGCAATCGGTACACAGTTAGTATTAACGCAATGAGTATTTTATTAAATTATTACAAGTATAAAAAAAAAGAAACTATTACAAGTATAAAAAAAAAAGAAACTATTACAAGTATAAAAAAAAAAGAAACTATTACAAGTATAAACAAAAATTATTACAAGTACTGTATAAAAAAAATCCTTATAAGTATCAAATTTTTAGTTTTGTTGTCCAGTATAGCCAAGTTTCCGTTTGAGCAAGCGAGTTCGCACTCTCCATTACACCTTCTATTACTACGCTGCATGTTAGGTATGTTGTATTTTTTCTTATTTCTAACAAAATGGTCTGCTTAACAAGTCCACGACAAACCAGATCAGATAGCGCTAATTTAACTAAATCTTTTGTATGTAATATTTTTGGTTTTGGGCGATTACAAATATTAGGCAATTTTAACTCTCTATCTCGGATACGCTCATTATCTGAGCAACTGAAAATATCTACCACATCTGCTGGTGTAATTAGTTTATCATTTCTCTTGCATAATTCATCTATAACGTGTAGCATGTCCAGAATTTCTAATCGTGCATCCGTTTGTTTTACTTTATTCTTTTCACGTTCACGTTTGATGCAGTTATCGCATGATTCACAAACTGGTGGAATCTGATCGTTTGGCCATGCGTGATATCGCGATATTTGCTGAAATCGGCATTCATAAGAGGTAAGACAATAATGTATTACCTCGAATAACTTATGCCGTGCTTTTGCTAGATAAAGTTCTCGTGCAGTAGTTTTCTCATCATTTCCTTCATAGCTATTAGAATACATTTGATAATTAATCTATGAAACTTTTGATACGTAAAACAAAAATAATAATAATAATAATAATACTAACGGTACCTCTCTCTATTATCCGCAATAATAGTGTAATTGTGTGGATATCTTTTCCAGAATAGAGGATAATACATTTTGAGTTTCGTCCATCCCGCCTAGCTCGACTTGATCCATCAACTACAGTTGCATCTATCAAATCGTTAGGAATTCGTAGCGCCAAATAATTATTTATCGATCTATTATAATTTAATATAAAAGTGTATTGCTTCCTTTAAGGAACTTATACAAGTTAGAATTTAGAAGCTTTGTAAATAAAAGTTCGCTATTAATAAGAAACTGAGTAGTCTTGTATTGTTGTCATAAGGTGTAGAAGTTGTAGTACCTGTACGATATGCCAGTTGCGTGAGTGTAAGCAAAGCGAGTAGACATCTAAGTGAATTAGATATAAGAGCCCATAGTTGAGAGGAACTACACGACAAGTATCAATTAGTCTTATTGGCAAGATATTTGTTATTTTTAGATGCATCGTAAGTTATACTTCAAGTTTCTGGTACTTAGAAACTTAAAGTATTTTTCTAAGATAAGGCATGTATCTACCTTTTTGTTTTCGTTCTGGTCGATTATCCCACTGGAAAGAAACGCTCTTTGTCTCATATCAGTCGTCTTAAAACCAGTAGCCATTTGAATTTATCTAGTCACTACACTTTATATTTGATATTGCTACAGTCCAAAGCTAAAGCAATTCATTATTAAATTTTAAATTTAAATTTTAAATAAAAAAATTTGAACCTTATTATAGAAATTTAATACTCTATCATACTTTTATCTTTTTCCTCTTATATATCAAAATTTTAGCAACTTTATTCACTTTTCGTGAAATGCTTAAGTCGTCTCTGATTATATGAAAAACATTATAAAATGTGGTTACATTTTATTTCACTAGGCCAAAAGTGTCAAACACTCGAAGATCAAATGTTCTAAAAACCAATATTTCAAAGTAGTGGATTCTTCCATTTACGAGTGAATTTTTTTTAGTTATAGAAGCAAACATAATGTATAACCTACTAAAAAAATTTTTAAGTATTTATATACATAGAAATTGTTGTGGTAGCACACAATTTTTATGCATGGTATTCTAATGTATGTTGATCGATTTATATAAATATATAATGAACTGACGATTCTTATAGTAAAAAATTTTCAAAAGTTCGTTATATAGTAATTTGCTATATTTTATATACCGGAATTTATAATAAATTTGAAGAAAAAAAGTTCGTTATATTGTATCTGTTATAAAAGATTCATTATATCCAGTGTTTACTGTATCGACCTTTTTTTTTTTTTTTTTTTTTCTTGAATTTCTCTATTTGATGGACGAAGAAAACACATTTGAACAATTTATTAACCCAATTGAACCTACCGTTTCAAGTTCGATGTCTCAAAATGCGCCCGAATCTGAAACACTTATGGAAATAACGAACCATCCTCCAAAGCGGTTAAAAAAGGACCCTTTCTGGGATGAACTTACCGAAAC